GGCTGGAGTGCAGTGGCGCGATTTTGGCTCACTGAAACCTCCACCTCCCGGGTTCACGCCATTCTCCTGCCTCAGCCTCCTGAGTAGCTGGGACTACCGGTGCCCGCCACCACGCCCGGCTAGTTTTTTGTATTTTTTAGTAGAGATGGGGTTTCACCGTGTTAGCCAGGCTGGTCTTGATCTCCTGACCTCGTGATCTGCCCTCCTGGGCCTCCCAAAGTGCTGGGATTACAGGCGTGAGCCACCGCGCCCGGTGTCAGTGATCTTTGAACAAAAACGTTTTAAATGATCTGTTATTGGGAATGGTTCTCCGTTGATTTGGTTGAAACCTCTGACTAAGAAACAACTCGGTTCGAGAAAGGATTTTTTTCAGGAAATCGTAATTTGGGTTCCTAGCACGACTTTTTTCTTGTCCTTTCCTTTCCTTTTTCTTTTTTTCGAGACGCAGTCTTCCTTTGTTGCCCAGACTGGAGTGCAGTGGCACGATCTCGGCTCATTGCAACCTCTGCTGCCCGGGTTCAAGCAATTCTCCTGCCTCAGCCTCCCGAGTAGCTGGGATTACAGGCGTGCGCCACCACGCTGGGCTAATCTTTTTTGTATTTTTAGTAGAGACGGGATTTCACCATGTTGGCCAGGCTGGTCTCTTGAACTCCTGACCTTGTGATCCACCCACCTTGTGATCCTCCCAAGTGCTGGGATTACAGGCGTGAGCCACTGCGCCCGGCATTTTGTTGTTGTTGTTGTTGTTGTTTTTGTTATTTTTTAGGCAAGATCTCACTCTCACCAAGGCTGGAGTGCAGTGGTGTGATCACTGCTTCATGCAGCCTCCTGTGCTCAAGCAGTCCTCCCACAGCAGCCTCCTAAGTAACTGGGACTACAGGCATGTGGCACCACACCTGGCTAAATTTTTACATTTTTTAATACAGAGTCTCACTCTGTTGCCCAGGCTGGACTCAAACTCTTGGTTTCACACAGTCCTCCCACCTTGGCCTCTCAAAGTGCTGGGATCACAGGTGTGAGCACCACGCCCAGCTGGCCCCAGTATTTTCTATTACTGCTTTCATACTCCATCGAGAGTTTTCATCCCCAAAGCCAGTGCCCAATTGAGCAGATGAGAGAGGCTGTTGAGGGAGAGGAGGTGGCAGATGGGCTTTAAGAAAGACTTCACGACCAAGTGGAGATTCTGGAAATGCTTTTCCTTAAGACAGGTCAGCTCCAGCCTGGATGCCAAACACCCGGCATGGGGGGCCGCGGCTGTGGCCTCTGGTGTTTTTGTTTTTCTGTTCTGTAAGAGGTAGTGTCTCGCCGTGTTGCGCAGGCTGGTCTCGAGCTCCTGGGCTCAAGCAGTCTGCCCGCCTCAGCCTCCCAAAGTGCTGAGATTACAGGATGAGCCACCGCCTCCACAGAACATCTTTTCATGTACTTTATGGTTGGTCATAGTTCTTCTTCGAAGAAATGTTTTTTCAAATCCTTTGCCCATCATTTAATTGGGCTGTTTGTCTTTTTGTTGTGACATTTGTAGTTCTTTATGCATATGTAGAGATTTCAGGCCCTTTCAGGCATGTGGGTGCACCTCAGAGACACTGCAGGGTTGGATCCAGACCACTGCAAAAAACGAATACTGCAGTAGAGCTGCCAGTCACATGAAGCTTTTGGGTTCCTACTGTATTAAGCAATTATGTTGATACTGTATCGTGGGTAATATATTACCCCAAGGTAAATTTAGTATTTTTACTGAAGGATTATGTGGATGTGGCCAAGTTTTCTGACCTAAGCATGGGCTTAGACTGTCACGTGCAGGGAGGA